AATTGATAATTTTAGGCGTGAAAATAGCAGCCATTTCACAGGCACTTTAAAATTGGCCATCATCAAATGTATATGGCACATCACTGAGCGTTGAAATACAAAAACAAATAATTTCGCGTTTGTCGAATCCCACGCGACGTTTTAACTACACTATGACGCTATGACCTTTGTTCGTCCTGGTTTTACGTTTGATGTCACGCATAACGCGGGATCTCGCAGTGATCAGAATCTACCCTGATCTGACAAGACACATTGGGAACGGACTAATATTTTGAATTTCAAAATGCTGTTATTGGTAGTCACAATGTTTTCAACGATTCAATTAAAACAAAACAAAAACTGAATAACTGCAAGAATAAACCAAAATAACCAAAAAAATTATGGAATTTAAAAACAATGACGCCTATCACTGCACACTATTTTCATCAGATTTGTTTTAATCTTTCTTGTGGTTTTGTTGTTCAGACTTCAAATGACGTCGGGGACCAGCGAACGGACGGATGTGTGAGCTTCAAGGGACGCCGAAAACTACTTCTTTAAGTGAGAACTGGCGGATCAACTGTTTACTTAGACTGGCACAGTTGCGATTTTTTTTAGTTAAAGTATAATAACAAAAAACTAGGAATAGTTTTGCGAAATTTGAGATGAACTCGAAACCTCCACGATTACAAGGGATTTCACATTAACACCTTCATTTCGCGATATTGAAAAAAAAAAAATCGCCCAGAGTTTGCCAGTCTAATGTTTACTGACAGACCGCAGAGCTCGCTTAACAAAAATCATCACTATTTATCACTAGAAATAAGAATGTACCTGGCTCCCCAACCTTAACACCTAACTGTTAGACCAATCATAGAGCTGCTTATTGTTTGGCGTCTTAAATTCAGCAATGCTTCGGCTCAACTAAAAAAATAGTTGTGGAAATTGTGAATAAAAGTTTTTGTGTGTGGAAAACTTGATTTTACTCAAAAAAAAAAAAAAAAAAAAAAAAGAATTAGTGGAGTTTGGTCGCTAAATTAAACCTACGTGGATGAATAAATCTTATCGATTCCTTGGCAAATTTTTGTAATTAAAATACAGTGAATAAACTT